GGACACAGTAATCCAGGAGTGGTCTGACCAAGACAGAATAGAGTGGTACTATTACTTCCCTTGATCTGGACACTATACTTCTGTTGATGCAGCCTAGAATATCATTAGCTTTTTCTGCTGCTGCATCACACTGTTGATTCATGTTAAGCTTGTGATCCATCAAGACTCCTAGATCCTTTTCACATTTACACATTCTAGTAAGCCAGGTGTCCCCCATCCTATATTTGTGCATCTGGTTCTTCCTGCCTAAGTGCAGAGCCTTACATTTATCCTTTTTGAAATTCATTTTGTTAGCTTGCACCCAATTCTCCAATCTGTTAAGGTCATTTTGAATTCTGATTCTGTCTTCTGTGGCATTAGCTACCCCTTCCAGTTTGGTGTCATCTGCACATTTGATGAGCATCCCCTCAATTCCTTAATACAAGGCACTTATAAAGACGGTGAGCAACAACAGACCCAGGACAGAACCCTGTGCCACCTCACTTGTCACTTTTCCCCAGAAACCATTAATGAGTACTTTTGGGGTTCGGTCAGTCAACCAACTACAAATCCACCTAACAGTTATCTTGTTCAACCCTCATTTTACCAACTTCCTTGTGAGACTATTATAGGGGACTTTATCAACAGCCTTACTGAAATCAAGATACACTATATCCACAGCATTTCCCTGATCCACCAAGTTTGCAATTTCATTTAAAAAACAAACAAACCCCAGATTGGTCTGCCATGACTTATTTTTGAGAAACTCGTGCTGGGTCCAAGTAATCACAGCATCCTTTTCTAAATGCTCACAGACCAACTGTTGAATTAGCTGTTCCAGGACCTTCCCTGGTATGGATGTCAACCTCACCCGTTGGCAGTTACCTGGGCCTTTCCCCCCTTTGTGAAGATGGGGACAACATTTGCCCACCTCCAGTCTGTAGGGACCTCACCTGTACTCCAAGAATTCTCAAAGATAATAAACAAATTACACCCGCAAGCTCCTTTAGTACTCTTGGATGCAGCTCATCAGGCCCTGGATATGTGAATTTATTTAAAGTAGCTACGTAGGTGTCCCTTACTACCTCTTTTCCTATCTTGGGCTGCAGCTCCCTTCTTACATCATTTATTCTGTTATTACCAGGTTGGCATCACTTTCCTTTTGGGAAAAGTAGCTGTTGAGTAGTTCCACCTTTTCTCTGTCACCCAACAGCATTTCTCCATCTTTCCCACGCAGAGGACCTACCACTTGCTTGTTCTTCCTCTTACTTCGGACATAGCCAAATAAACCTTTTTATTTTTAACCTCTATTATTATTATTATTATTAATAATAATAATTATTAAAATAATTAATTATAAATATATATATATATATAATTTATTATTTAGATTGTTGTTGTTGTTGTTAACGTCTCTTGATATTATTTTTAACCTGTCAGGATTGAAGATTCTGCATATAAAGCAACACCCCCTCCTCTGCATCTTTTGTTAGACACTGGGGGAAGCTAGGTCAACTCATTGCCCTTTCTAAACTAGTCTGCTGTCACTTATTTTTGTTCAGTGTGCTTTTCATTATTACTAAGTGACAAACCTCATTCACCTTCCCAAGATAGATATATTTTTGGGGATTTAATTCCTCCCATCAGATTTGGGGCATCAGAATTTTGAGATATGACTCAAAATGTGTGTGTGGGAGGGGGAGTATTTTAGGATAAACATATATCTAGAAATGCATGCATTGAGATAAAATACATGTTTAAATAAAAAGTTTGTACATACTTTGTGCTTCTTGCTTCAGAACTATTGCTGTTTTCATCTTATGATTAATAGATTAATCAGCTAAGAATTCATTGGTAGGTTGATACTACAGTGGTACCTCAGGTTAAGAACTTAATCCGTTTCGGAGGTCCGTTCTTATCCTGAAACTTTTCTTAACCTGAGGTACCACTTTAGCTAATGGGGCCTCCTGCTGCCGCCGCACCGCCAGAGCACAATTTCTGTTCTCATCCTGAAGCAAAGTTCTTAATCCGAGGTACTATTTCTGAGTTAGCGGAGTCTGCAACCTGAAGCGTATGTAACCTGAAGCGTATGTAACCCAAGGTACCACTGTACTGTGTTTGGTATTATTAGATAGAATAGGTAATTTCAGTTTTTATTTTTTAAAAAATTGCTTCATTTTACTTTGTGTTGTTGTTTATGTGTATTGTAATATACTTTGCATGTTATTTTAATGGAGAAGTATAAGTATTTAATCTAATCTAACAGATGCTACAACTCTGCTTTGGTTATCGCACCACAAATATTTCAGGAAGGGTATTTCACTTTCACTTAACTCTGTCTTGCCGGACAGTATGAGACACAAGGACGGACCCAATGAAGTGACATTTTGTTGGATTTTAGTGCCGATATTATAACGAGGGAAGGGAGTACAAGAACATTTTCATACTTATGAATTTGAAGTCTGAGTGTCACTGAGTTAGTGTACACACCCCCTCCCTAAGGATTATCTCATCCTGAAGCAAAGTTCTTAACCTGAGATACTATTTCTGGGTTAGCAGAGTCTGTAACCTGAAGCGTCTGTAACCTGAAGCGTCTGTAACCTGAAGCGTCTGTAACCCGAGTTACCACTGTACTATAAAATAGCTTTAAAATAAATAAAACAACAAAACAAAACAAAACGGTTGTAAGACATCAGAGATCCAAAATGCAGTGTCTGGAAAAGCAATAGCAACCTGCTAACTTAAATATTTTTTTCAATTAAAACACCCACATGTGGAGTAAATGTTTGTGACAAAAGAATGGGCTTGGCCTTGAGTGCTTGGCCAAGTGTCCACAATGTCATTCTTAGCTCATTATATCAGATCCTGCAGATAAAGGGATTTAAAGATTAAGAGCCAGTTTAAATAGGGAATCAGCGAGTTATGCCAGCCTGTACTATGGGGAGCTTGTTGCAGGCCCCGCAACATTGTGTAATCTAACATCCAAAGAAACTGAGAAATACATTTCTTTTGAGATGGGGACATAGCCAGTTTGACATAAAACCACTTGTCATTTGCTATGCCCATTGCAACCTCCTTCTGTTACTTACTAATGTGTTCTATCTGTTCTCGGCTGGGTTCTGCCAGATGGGTGTCACTCTGATCAGCTTTCTATGCCAGCCTGAGTTCTCATATGAGAAAACGGATAGAACTATCTGTGCTTTGGAGAACCCTTGAACAGCTTTGCTTTCTCTCTGGAGCTGGATACAGATTAAAAGAGGGAGTGTGTTTTTGTTTCCTCAAAGAGGAGGCCCAAAAGCACAGGAGCATGTTGGCAGAAGAACAAGGAGAATGGTAGGCAGCTGCTGATTGTTCCTAAATGGACTTGGCCCAGTATACCTGAAGGGGCATCTCCACCCCTGTCATCCAGCCCAGACCTTGAGGTCCAGCTCCAAGGGCCTTCTGGTGGTTCCCTCACTGCGAGAAATGAAGCTACAGGGAACCAGGTAGAGGGCCTTCTCAGCAGTGGGGGGCCCCCCATGGAATGCCCTCCCATCAGATGTCAAGGAGATAAATAACTACAACTTTTAGACGACATCTGCAGGCAGCCCCGTATAGTGAAGCTTTTAATGTTTGATGGTTTATTATGTTTTTATATGTGTTAGAAGCTGCCCAGAGTGGCCGGGCAACCCAACAAGATAGGCAGGTTAATAATAATAATAATAATAATAATAATAATAATAATATATTCTAAACCTTATTCTAAGACTAGGCATTTCCTTCTTTGGAAGAAGTGGGGATGGTCAAATCTATCAGTATTGTTTTCTCATCTCACCCCTACCCTGGTTTTAAACTCAGTTGTCCATATTCCCACAGCAATTTGCATTTTAAAACAATTTCAGGGTCATTTTTCCATAAATTTTGAGTATGAATTTCTCCTAATAAGCACAGTTATATGGAGTTTTGACTAATAATGCACATTTTTGCAAACAACCTTCTGTAGCATGATGCTTTTTTGTTTTAGTTCAAGCAATTTTACGTGCACTTTCCCCTAGTAGATGTATCTAGGTACATAATTGTTTGGTTGGAGCACTGCACCACAGAATTCATAGAAGTGTGGATTCTGAAGTGTGTTTCTGTTTGCATATTGGTTTGAAGTATTTTCTCATTTGGAATTTGAACAAAATCAAATTTCTCCCCTATGTTCATCACTTTGCCTATGGCCAGGAAGCCTCATTGTGCTGCCCCGGATGTGTGGCAGCCAGGACCTCTGACTTACCAGTCAGCATCTTCCCTTGTCCCAAATTAAACTCTGTAATTCAGATCATTGGGATGCCTCAAAGTGGAAGAAGATGCACTCCAGCAATTCAGAATAAATAGTTTGGAATGACTTGTGTTAACAGCCAAACCACAGACTGCAAAGGAAGGAGGGTGGAGAGTGTTTGTATATGGTGTGTGATGGTATTGCAAATGTGAATGGGGAAAATACTTTCTTTACACACACACACACACACACACACACACACACACACAACCATGGGAAAGCAGCAAATGGTATGCAAACCGAATGTTGGAAACCTTTTGGGTGAGCACACCCAGATGGAATACTCTGGTGGAATTCCTTGGATGTATGACTTTAGCTCCTAGTTACAAGGAGATGCTGTGCTACCCTGTAAATGGTCCTCCCTCCCTCTCCCTGAAAACAAAACTTGTGAGGCAGTGGAATTGGCTGGCAATTGGCATGTATTGGCTGGAAGCCTTGCAAATACTAAACAATCTACTTCACTAAGCATTTACAAACAGTAAATGTATATTGATGTTTGCTTGTTTGTTTTTCACTGTGCCAGTGCTCATTGCGAAACAGCCGTTGCCAAATGATATGTTTGAATTTGCCGTTCCTTTAAAAAAAACACACCAAAAACCAAAACAGATTAAAACCTCTTATTAGGTTGCTGGCATTTCTTAACCTGTTCTTCTCTTCTCATTTTTATTTCCTAGTTCTTCTTAGTGTTCGGTTGGACAACTCCTTAGCCATTCTGGAGATGGACTTGCTTTCCAGGACCTACCTCTTGGCAGCCTTATTAACCTGTATCGTGTTTCAGTCCGGTGCCCAGGAGAAGAATTATACGGTGCGGGAGGAGTTGCCAGAAAATGTCCTAATTGGCAATTTGCTTAAGGACCTCAACTTGACTCTGGACCCTGATGTGCCCCTTTCGTCACCCCTGCAGTTCAAGCTTGTGTATAAGACTGGGGATGTTCCGCTGGTGCACGTGGAGGAGAATACTGGAGAAATATTCACCACTGCCAACCGCATTGACCGGGAGAAGCTCTGCTCTGGCATTTTTAGTGAGAACCGCTGTTTCTATGAGGTGGAAGTTGCTGTCCTGCCCGATGAAGTTTTCCGACTGGTCAAGATCAGGTTCCTGATTGAGGATATAAATGACAATGCCCCTCTTTTTCCATCAACAGTCATCAATATCTCTATCCCTGAGAACACAGCCATCAATTCCCGGTATTCTGTCCCATCTGCTCTTGATCCTGACATTGGAGTCAACGGCATCCAGCACTATGAACTCCTTAAGGTGAATGTTGGTCCTTGTATCTCCCCATAAAGATTCATCTCCATTATTTCCCCTTGAGTTTCTTAATAATTTCTAGGATCTTGCATTGCATTTAACTTTCAGCAAGGGGAGGAATAAGGAAAGATGGGGGTATTGATGGAAAGTGGAAAAGTGAAAATAAAACAGAGGGGTGGGGAATGGACTGGAGTGGTGGAAAGATAGTAGAAGATTGAGTAGTAGTAGTAATAATAATAATAATAATAATAATAATAGTAATAATGTTTGTCAGGGGTTCAGGAGCAGAGGCAAGGGCAAGGGAGGAAACAGAGAGCGAGGGGGAGGAGGCAGAAGAAAAGATGAGTGATGACGACGACCCGAGATCTCCGAGTCTTTCCAGTGAATCAGAAGATTCACAGAAAGGAGCACCAGTGGCCAGGGCAAGGGGGAGCCTGGGGGACGCCCCAGGAAGATGAGAGCCAGAGGGGACTCAGAGGGAGCAGTTGGAAATCGGGACCAGCGTCACCGCCAGAGAGCAGGGAAGAGGAAGGGAGCCAGGGATCAGCGCTGGCAGCTCACAGCAGGGGGAGGGCACGAGTCAGGGTGGCCACACCTCCATCGGGGAGCGAAGAAACGGTCAGACGGAAGGTGGAAGGTTGGGCGCGCGCCACGGTTCAAATGCACAGGACGTTGGCACAGTAGGCAGCCCGGAAAGGGAGCCAGGTCCTAAAGCCCGCCGAAAGGAGGGAGAAGAGTCAGGGGTCAGCGTCAGCGTCAGAGGAATCCCGGAAGAAGAGACCCCAGGGGCAGAGGGACCCAGAGAAGAACAATCAGGCGGAAAAGGTGGAGCAGGGCTAGGATATTAAGTTGGTGTACAAAGGGCGGAGACTCAGACGGAGCTTCGCCGGTCTAACCATGAGACGTAGAGTTGCACGCAGCAGTTTGAGAATGGAAACTGTAACTCAATAAAGACTTTTGTTTAATGATCGCTGGCTAGCGTGATCCTCTGTGAGCTAGGATCTGGAAGCAGCTCTGACAATGTTTCACATATAAACATATTAGCATTTTGGGATCTCCTCTCCCCATATCCCCCTCCTCATTTCTCATGCAATAAGGGATTTTCAAGTTTGCCTGCCTTATATACATGATCTAAACTGGCGGAATGTGGTAGACTATATATGCTTGTGGGCTGCACCAAAGAAAGTGTTTTTTATGTGTGTGTGTGTGTGTGTGTGTGTGTGTGTGTATACATACAAATGCATTCTCTCTGAGTCACTCAGGCACAATTCATGTGTTGCCTTGGCAAATCCTCTCTTCTGCATTTAACTACTCACATGAGCAGTCAATTTGTGTGTGAGCCTTTTGCTGTGGGTGCAGGAACCTTAGCTAGGAGAGGGGATGAGAAGAAGAACGACATCTTGCCACCCAACTACCTTTATACCCATCAGTATATACCTTGAATCCAAAATAAGCTGGATTTCCAGACATAACATTTTAACCAATCTTTGGCATCCCATACGCTAAATATGTGGGGAAATTCACAACCACTTTGTGTGATGTTTTCCATTTCAGTACTAGTTAGTTTTAGACTGCCTGAGCTGTCAGTCCCATAAGAACTGCACGCTTGGACATTTTTCAAAACTCGCAGCATGCATATATATATATATATATATATATATATATCTGTCAAGGAGAAGCTGGAGGTAGGGATGTACTTAGTGAATGTGACCAGTAGCTCTGGCAGTGAAGCATATGAAAGCAAAGAAGGGAGCCCCGTGGAATAGTGATATGCACTGAAGCAAATTAACATTCTCAGAGAAGCAAAGAGGAAGCCCTCCATCTGACTGGCTCAATCAGCCTGCTTTGGTAATGCTTGGGTAGGTTAATAGTAAAGGGAAATGAAAAGTTATTCACACACAGAGAAAAGAGCAACTGTAATGATGCCCATTCTGTAGAAACAAGCAGAGCATTTGACATTACAAATAATTTTGTGTGTGTGTGATGCTGGGGTGTCAGAGGCAGACAGTTTCTCCTTTGTTTCTTGATGAGCAAAATCTCTGGTGCACATTTATTGGTTGCTCAAGACAGGGTGTGATGAGGGGGCGGGAATGGTTTGCCAAAGATAACACCTGTGACTCACCAGGAAGGACTAAATTTTTGGTCTTTCAGATGTTGTTAGACTCTAGCTCCTATCATGGCTGGCCTTTTTGGACTGATAGAAATTGTAGCCTGGATGCATGGTTCATCTCCAACAGGAGCTGTGCATTCAGTATTATGGGCCCAAGTTTTATGCAACTCCATTTCAGTTAAGGTCAGACAGACTCACTCCTTGCTGAATTTCCAGCACTTAGTGAAGTTTATTATTATTATTCCATCATGCATTTTAATTGGTCTGATTTTTATAGTTTTAACCGATTCTTACCCTTTCCATGTTGTATTCCTTGTTCCTCACTTAGAGATGATTGCCATTAAGTAGTAAATAAACAAATAAATTGCAGCAAAAGAAGTGGTTTTTAACTTCTGAATCTGCTTGAAAGTGAGATGGACCTTTGGTGGTGGATCACTGCCCTGCCCCTTTCAGCTGGCAGTGGTTCTCAAACATCTCAAGCAGTAGACATTCCTATCACTTGCTGCCTGATCCTTTCAGTGGATTTGTTGGGGGTTGAACTTGTTATCTTTTGCATGAATAACCTGTGCCCCTCCCCCTTTCCTTCGTTGCTTGTATATACCAGCTTCTATCTCTGGGGAACCTTTTGCTTGTGATTGGTGGCAGTCTTGGCTGTTACTGCTTTCTCTAGCTGATGATGAACCTTAATTTCATACAAGCTCAGGAGCTGCAAAGCCAACATGAAGCCCTTCTATTCAGAAAGGTTTCTCAATCATTTCAGTCAAAGGAGCAGTGGGGCCCTGCTGTGATCAGTTCCCGATTGCGAACTTCCCATAGGCATTTTGTTGGCCGCTGCAAGAACAGAATGCTCAACTAGACAGGCCTTTGAAATAAATGGAACAGTCTTCACAACACACACCTCCTTTGTGTAAAGTTACACGACCATGTATTGCAGCCACATAGGGAAATAAGGCAGCAAGGTACAAAGGCTTGACACCACAGATCTGAATAAGGGAACAAAGGTGTGGGGTATTATAACCACACGTAACAAACTGGGCAAGTCAGCTCCACCAAGGGGGAGAGGTAGTGTTGCATTATGCTTTCAGGTAAGTAGGGAGATGATAGTGTTTCACTCCACCCTGCCAATAGTGTCCCTATTTTCCAGAGGCATCCCTTATTTAGAGAGGCCATCCGGGTTTCTAATTTGATCCCAGAATATCCCACTTTTCCTTAGGATGTTCCCTGTTTTCATCAGAGAAATGTTGGAGGGTATGCCCTGCCAGGGGGGTTGACAGCACTGCAGGCTAGACTTGGGGCAACATTGTTCAATCTTAAAGGTGACTACCCTCACCAAACATTAGCTGTCTACCTGCCAGTGTGGGAAATCTAACAGCACCCCATCCCTCCACTGCGGACACATGCCACCAAGCCAGTGAAGCTTGAGGAACCCCCCCCCCCCAAAAAAAATAAACTAGTAAACAATGCCAATCAACTGATGGGCCAAAAAAAAAAAAAAAAAAGCATACTGCCCACACCCAAAGGTGACCTGCCAATGCCTGGACTGAATGAAGTGGGATTGGTGGATGCCACCAAACCTCCAGAAGGCTGGCAGAGCTGGAGCTAGCTGCTCCTGGCAGAGCTGGAGCTAGCTGCACCTGGAGCGGCGCACATGCTGTGCACCTGAGGGTGGGGCTATGGGGGCACGGCGAGCCGCCCATGGCGGGCTGCTTCCTAGGCGGTGGCGGGGGGAGTGAGCTGCGCCACTTTGCCAGCAGCCTTCCTCCCTTCTCTCTTCCTTTTGATAGCTCGGGTAAGGCTCCCCCCCACCCCGGAAGCTGCCCAGGAGCGGGGGGCAACAGTGCGCCGCCCACCCATGACTCCCAAGCCTCCCCCGAGCTGTCAAAACAAAGGGGGAAGGCCACCGGCAAGGCAGCGCAGCTCCGCCCCCTTCCCCCAACAGCTCAGGGTAGAAGAAGAGTTTGGATTTGATATCCCACTTTATCATTATCCTAAGGGGCTAACATTCTCCTTTCCCTTCCTTTCCCCACAACAAACACTCTGTGAGGTGACTGGGGCTGAGAGACTTCAGAGAAGTGTGACTGTCCCAAGGTTACCCAGCAGCTGCATGTGGAGGAGCGGGGAAGCGAACCCTGTTCACCAGATTACGAGTCCACTGTTCTTAACCATGGTAGGCTTGGGAGTTGTGGGCAGGCAGCATGCCAAATATCACCCCCCTCAGTAATGACACTCGGTGCGGCTGCCCCCCACCGCCCCCCTTCCTCCATCCCTGAAGGCCAGCAGAAGGTGTGGCAGGGTTAAGTAGCCAAACCTCAGCCCTACACAGCATACCTGAGCATGCATGTGGCAAGAGCTAGGTCTCCTTTCCCTAAGTGACTGCATAGACCACCTACTGCTGCAGCAACTTCACTTGAATTGAACTACACACACACACACACACACACACACACACACACACACATATATATATTCTGCTGACTCTTTGTCTTTGTTTCTTTGCTCTAATCACTAGCTGCGTGCCAGCAGAAAGTAGGAATGGGCTGAAATGATGAAGTTTCTTTTTATAGATCACTTTACCCTGATACAGTGCTGGTGCTTTAAAGTGTCCCACTGTCTTGGTGACTCAGATGCAGACATGGTAAAAAAAGAGAGAGGCATTCCTGTTGCCCACTGGACAACCATATTAACAATGTAAAGGGGATCATAGCGAATCATTGCTCTTCTGTTGTAAGTTACCATCCCTGAATATTGCACTTTCCCCATCTGTGTATATCCTACTACCTTCTAGCCACACTGTACACGTGACATAGCTGCTGTGTGTTGTCTCATTACCCCCAGTTTATTTTAAATTAGTCTATACCAGTAAAATGCATTCTAGCTGTCAGCTGTTCTGAAAAACATGGTTTGGGGAAAGATAGAAGAGCCACAG